TATATGCAACTTTTGGTTATCTATTTAAGTAGTCTGCCCTAGGTTCCACACTAGCTGCCGTACCTGCACCCAACTATAGAGGATACCTATTTAAATCCTTTGGCTTACGTTTCTGTAACACGCTTTACCCTAACACCCTTAAGAGATTAGCAATGCCGCATAAGGACTTTAAGACTTTAGCTATATACAGGCATTTGTCCTTGCGGTAAACCTAACAGAATAGTACATGTCCCACACATGTACTCACCTGCATGTTTGGTAACTTTTCCCCAACTAATACATGTTGTACTGCTGCTATTAGGTCTGTATTTCAAGCTATTGTTTCGGATACTGCCGTAACCCGGTTTGTATCTCAAGCTACAACCTTTCTAAATAGTTTCCACTTACGTACTCCTGCCCTTGCAAGGTTCACAACAACCCCAGTACCCACATTCTAACTTTCTTCTTTCCCGGATTTCTTACCAGTCCCTCCCTTACTTCCAGCCAGCAACCCGGAAGGGTCGGTCTACCCAGGCTTTAGGTGCCTTACGATTTCCCTTCTCTTGGTACATGCTTCCAGAGCACATGTCCTTTTCTTTCAGTTGGCAACCCGGTGATTCGGCTGGTGTGTCTCTCCCTTCAAGGACCTGGTCGCTCGGTTCGCCGGTTTCAGTTTCCGGTTCCAAATTCAGTCTTCCTGTAGTACCGTCAAAGATCCTGCTACTCCCAACTCGGGACTTGCTAAATGGGTTTTTGGTAATTCCAGTTTCCTGGATTTATTGCACCAAAGCTCCCATTCGAGATAGTGTAACCAAGATTACAGATATCTGGATCCAACCGATAATCTTAATGTTAACCGATAAAGATCTAGTATTTTCAAAATCGTCATCTGTGGGATTTGAACTCTAGACCTGCCATCTGGGGGTGCAACAACTCCACCACTTCACTAAGTCGCCACACCCTAAGTTAGATTTACTTAAGATATACTGTAATTCAAAAAGGAAAAAAAATTTTAACAATGATACAATATGTGCTATTGTTTAAGCAGAGGTTTTTATGAATCTTAACACAGCCTTAAAATTATAAGGGTTGTGCATTTGGAATACATTAATAACATGATTAGAGATTAAGCCTATCAAGAAAGTCCCAGATAGATCATAATATATTTCAGGTAATATACTATAGTAATTTCTACTCTGGTCCAATCTCTGGTTATTTTGCAACATCTCATTGATTCATTGGCTGCATAAAAATGAGGTAAGGTTAAAATCGATAAAGAATTCTGCATATTACAGAAAGTGAAATAGTTCCTCATACATAATCTTATCATTTCCCTAATTCATATATAATAGAGAAAAGATAATAGTAACAAGTATCAAAAAGATATCAAGAACCGCTATTATGTAAAAGAAATATAAAAAGCCTTTTTGTTGCCATTGCTTGTGCTGTATTTTATATCATCATTTAACCTAATATTATAAATATTATTAAAATAAATATTATAAACATATATTTAATCTTGTGCCTCATTAATTTTTTAATAAAGCCAAACCCTGATTTTATATATAAATTATAGAAGAAGGCAGTTTATCATCTCTACTGGTCCAGTCATTCGATGAGCCATTTACTGACCAACCTAATAGTCTGGTATTAGAAAATGCAAATGATGTAAATGAAAATAAATTATTCAAAAGATTAGGATGCATAGGTGGATCAAAAAAATGAAGCTGGGTATGGAAATATTTCAAATTAAAAAAAGTTACAGAAAAAAGATCTAAACATATTACATATGGCACTTGTATCATATTAAATGAGTTGGGTAAAAAATGTGATGTATAAATTAGAGTTGTGGAGGGATCAACTTTGAATCTAATATCTCATTTATGGCGAAGTCACAGTATTATACAGGATAGAACTACATTATATAAATCAGATAATGAATAGTTTTGTTAATAAAATTATTTCTGTAAGAAATTATATAATATTTCTTTATCGTTTGTAAAATTAAACTCCTGTCTGCATAATAAATCAAAATGTAAATTTTTTATCTGTGATATTCTACCAATCAAATCTCATGTCAAATCCAAAAAAATTAAACCTAAAAATGCTAGGCAAAATAATTCATGTGTTGTATAATTAGTCTTCTGAAATCATGCATAAAGAGCTCAAAAATTTTACACACAACCAATCTATAGACAGCCCATAATAGATAAGGTACTTTGAAAATTATCTGCTCATAGCTTGATTCTGATTTTCAAAACCACAAAGTGTTCCTTTCCCTTATATAACTTAGATAACCTTATATTGCTAATATTATTTACAAAAAATTCAATATTACTAACAATGAGTTCTAGCAAGAACAAAGTTTTTTTTTATGAGTTTAAAAAAAAACTGTATACTTATTTAATTTTTTCTACTTTATTTTTTTTTGTAATTGTATAGTATTGAAAGATCTAAATAAATTGACCTGTTTCTGTTAGAAGTAAAAATAAAATGCATCAAATTTAATTCACGAACAAAATCTACTTCTAGTTTTGAATAATGTATCTAAAATATGCAAGTTAATAAGATCCCAAATAGAAGTAATGAAAAAAATAGTGCACAAGTAGCGATAATACAGTAATAAAGCCATACCACATTAGTCACGTCATTACGTCAAATTACATTAGTCTTATTATACTACTTTAGTTACGTTATACTACACAGTCAAGTCATACTACACTAGTCAAGTCACACTACACTAGTCAAGTCATACTACACTAGTCAAGTCATACTACACTAATCAAGTCATACTACACTATCACGTCATACTACACTAGTCACGTTATACTACATTAGTTCCGTCATTACGTCAAATGTTAAAAGTCACGTCACATTGTACTATTCACGTCTCACTACATTATCACGTCAATACGTCAAACGTCAAACGTCACGTCACTTACATCACGTCAATATAACCTCTAAGGTAGTACATCCCCTACGTCATAGACGTAGTGATGTAGGTAGTAACTACCTTGAGAAATGTTTGCACCTTTATTCATGAACATGATTTGTTGTTTTTTATTCCACTGATTATTAAATCATCTTTATACTCACAGACTAAATTAATGCGAATGAAATGATTTGAAGATTATTAATTGTAATAAGTATTTATGAATAAGTATTTATAAACATGTTTTGTGAATATGATTGTTGTTTTTAATTCCACAAACTAGTCTATTGTCTTTATACTCACGAGCTGAAAATAAGCGGTATTAGATAATTGTATATGTAAGCATGCTTAAAGATCGAAACTGGTCAAAAAATAGACCGTTCAAAATTGGTCAAAAGGTCAGCAGTATCACATGACAATCAGCCAATAAAAATTAATAACTGATGCAATTATCTAATGAACCAAAAAGTATAATATGCCTTATTAACCCACTTTTAACCAACCATTCATAATTTTATGACAGATCGATTGGATATTGATCAATTAATTGGTCAACGGTTCCGATTTCTAGACATGACATTTTGTTCTTAATCCCATTAATTAATAAACCATCTTTATACTCACTAACTAAAATGATTTGAAGGATATTTGGTATAGTATTTATGATTATGTTCTGCGAGCATGATTTACTGTTGTAAATTCCACCAATTAATAAATCGTCTTTACACTCACCCACTAAATTAATGCGAATAAAATAATTTGAAAGGTATTAAGTAATTGTAAATAAGTATTTATAAGTATTTATGAACATAATTTGTGAACGTGATTTGCTGCTTTTAATTTTACCGATTAATAAACCATCTTTATACTTACTAACTAAAATGATTTGAAGAGTATTTGGTAACAGTAAATAAGTATGAATAAGTTTCTATGTGCATGATTTGTGAACACATCGATTAATTTTCATCTTTATACTCACAAACTAAATTAATGTGAATAAACGATTTGAAGAGCATTAGGTAATGATAAACAAGCATTTATGAATAAGTATTTATGAATATGATTTGTGATTATTGCTGCTTTAATTCCACTGATTAATAAATTATATTCATACTTACTAACTAAAATGAGTTGAATAAATTAGGTAATAGTAAACAAGTATTTATGAATACTTAAGTACTTATGAATGTAACTGGCTACTGATTAATAAATCATTTTTATACTTACTCACTAAATAAAATGATTTGGAGAGCATTAGGCAATAGTAAATAAATATTTATAAACGTGATTTGTGATCATGATTTTGCTGTTTTTAATTCCACCAATCAATAAATCATCTTTATACACACTCACTGATTTGAAGTATTAGGTAATAATAATAAATATTTACGAATAAGTATTTATAAACATGGTTTGTAATCCTGTAATCATGATTTGTTGTTGTTAATCTCATCGATTAATAAATCATCTTTATACTCACCGACTAAATTAATGCGAATGAAATAATTTGAAGAGTATTAGATGAGAGTAAATAATTATTTATAAACATGGTTTGTGATCATGGTTTGCTGTTTTTAATTCTACTATTGAATAAATAATCTTTATGCTCACCCACTAGATAAAATGATTTGAATAGTTTTAGGTATGATAGATAAATATTTATGAATAAGCTTTATAAACATGAGTTGAGATCATGATTTGTGATTATAGTTTGCTGGTTTATCCAATAATTAATAAATCATCATCTTAATACTCACTCACTGATAAAATAATTTGAAGAGTATTAGTAATGGTAAATAAGTGTTCATGAACAAGTATCTATGAGCACGATTTGTGACAATGCTGATTAATAAATCATCTTGATTCTTACTACTAAAGGATTTGATAAATATAAGATACAGTCTAACCTCTCTATAGTCACCTCCTATATAAGCAAATTTTCTTTATAAGTATATTTTTTTAAAAACAAACTTTTGTTAAATATAATAAATTTGACCTCTATAACCGTCATACTTCTCTACAATCACCCATTTTTGTATCCCAAGTGTGTGATTATAGAGAGGTTTGACTGTAATAGTAAATAAATATTTATGAACATGGTTTGCTGTCACTGATTAATAAATTATCTTTATACTCACTTACTAAATAAAATGATTTTAAGGATATTAAGTAATAGTAAATAAGTGTTTATGAATAAGTATTTGTGAACATAATTTTTTAACTTCATTGATTAATAAATCATCTTTATACTCACTAAATAAAATGATTTGAAGGGTGTTATAAATGATAAATAAGGATTTATCGGAATATGATTAAACATAGTCTTGGGTGTTGCACATTATTGCGATTTGCAAAATGATTTATTTGCTGCACACCTATACAATCACCTGATTGTTGTCCGATTGTGCGATTGTACGAAACGATTTTTAGCGAGTATAACTACGTCTAACAAAGATTAAGAAAGTTACATAAGCGTATTGAGTTTTTGTCTAAGAAATCACTTTACAATCACACAATCGGACGACAATCAGGTGAGAGCAGTGATCTATACAATTTGATCAAAAATAAATAACTTTGCAGCACAAGATTGAAATTTTGTCAAAATTTTTTATCATAATATATTATATACTATAAGTTTTAAAATGGTATAACTTTTTTCTACCTAAAAAAATCTAGTATTGTAACTTATTGGATTATAAGGGAGATGGGGGTATTGTAGACAGGTTAAGTTTCTGCTAGCGAAACTTTTTTATTATTATATAAAATTCTCTGCTACAATTATCATATAAACTATACCTAATATGGAATAAAACTATCATAAAAAAAGTATTGTACGATATACTACTTTGGGACGTAAATGATTGTTACATAAGGGGGTATAAAATTCTAATTTTGGCGGGGTGGGGGTATTGTGGGCAATCCAAAAAAAATTTTTTTTTTTTTTTTTATACAGTTCTAATTCGCTTTTTTTGGGTTTTTACTTCCTTTTGTCGTTCCATTTCTTCCTTTTGTCGTGCTCTTTCTTCCTTTTGTCGTGCCCTTTCTTCCTTTTGTCGTTCCCTTTCTTCTTTTTGTCGTGCCCTTTTTTCCTTTCTTTGAGCTGTTATTTCTTTTTTTCGATTTGCTTCCTCAATTTTTTTATTCGCTTCTTCTCTTG